AAGCATACGAAGAACGTAGATTATTTCATTGGCTAGCTTAACTTCCATTTTAAATAAACGTACTTTCATTATTTTGTTAGTTCTTTCTAGACCAATGGGTCTTCTAACGTGACCTCCTTCATAGGAGTTATTTTTATTTTCAAGAAAAGATTGTCAAGATCACTGGTTTTTTTTTTAAAAAGGTTGACATAGTCCAGATACCTTGGAAAGATGTTTATGAGTCTTGCACATCAAAGCTCTTGTCAGCCATCAAAAAGTCTCCAAGCTCTAACAGGCTGGCATTATTACAGTGCTCTATGATATAAAAATCCTTTGTTAAGTTTTCATATCTTTATAAAATATTAATGTCCCCTGTCCCCCCAGCTTAACCTGAGACTGACTGAATGGAACACCGTACTGTATTGACATGTAATGTAAAACATTTTCAGTGAAGGTTTTACATCTATTCTAGACACTTATCAGAACTAAAAACTTTGGACAAAAGATATTTTTTCTTAATCCATGCAGATATTTGCCATTACCATGGCCAATTACCAAAGCAATGAAGTCCTGGAGCTTAACCTCTTTATTTTTTATTCCCACAAAATAAGAGTACATAATATCCTACTAGCTTAAGAATCTGAAAAATGATAGTAATTACTGTCATTAGGGTAATAATAAAAAGTAGAAACTCTCACGTAGTATTATTTTTTTATTACTAGCATTAATTTCACTTCAATGCTACCTAGTGGATCCTACCGCAGTGAAGTGTAAAGCTGGCATGTTTTTACTGAACTTTTAGATAATTCATTGTTTTTGTTATTAATTTTCTCAACATAAAATGTATTTAAAAATTATCTAGGACGTGTCAAGAGGAAGTATGCAGAATTTAAATCAGATCGGTTCACTAGATTTTACGACTAGCGATTGCAATGGTTTTAAAGACTGTTCACTTAAGAGTGAATATTGTGAGAGAAGGCTGTCGGGATCAGTGTAGTTAACGCGTTCTAATGTAGGCGCGAGGAGATGGGAGCCTGGAGTAGTGGGAGCACACACACTTGGTCGTTGACTCGGGTAAATAGTACAATACCCGCAGGTGTGGGTGCTTCTTCTCCCTCTCCGGCCTCGAGCGCCGAGTATCTTTGCTGGCGAGCTCGCGTATTCGGCTGAGCTCCTTTTACTAGCACGCGGACCTTTCAAGTATCAAGTCGCTCCCGCGTAGTCGAGCTTGATATTTAAAGTCGCTGCAGCTTTTCTATGGCTAAACTCGCAACCATTGTGACAGGATCAGGGCAGCCTTCTCATCGTCGCTAACTAGTCGCCTAAGGTATAGCGCACGTCTTCTCTGAGTAGAGGTGATTTGTTAACGAATTAAAAGGATAACAGGATCAGCCTGATTCTTGGAGGCCAGCTCGTTCGACTAGCTTCATCGTCGTCTCGAGCTGAGCCCCTTTAAAGTCTTTCTTGCTTATGATTAAGTCCAAGGTCTTCTCGAACGACTTGCTACATCGTCGTCTCGAGCTTTGTCCTTTATACCACGTACTGAGATTCGTGTTTCCTCGTAGCGAACTCTTGGTCAACTTACATTTTGTATATTATTTTGTTAAATACAAATTATCATTACTTAATAGTCGATTTTTGGTTGTTAATCTCTTGCCAATCCCATATAAAGAAAGAAAGGAGATTTCTCGGAACTGGAGCATTATTATCCAGGGAGAAAATTTAAATGCGCATTTAAATTTTCGAGCATTGAAAAGCATTTCTGCTCATTTCGTGACCTTCGTATCTTCAGGTCACGAAAGCAGAAAAGGTTTAAAAGTCAAAATATAAACAAAGACTTTGCTTTATATATTAGTAAGAAGTAAAAAAAAAATTAAGGTTGTACTCACACTATATTCACTTAGAACCGATCAAAATTTTATGAAATATAAAATTTTATGAGATGCGTTATCACTCAACATTAATTATGTACTAATGTGATAATTATTGTGATAATTAAATTAATGATGTGGGTGTCACTTGTTGTAACGAATAAAAACTCCTATCTGCATCAAGTATTTCTAAAGCTCACCACCAACTCTAACCTATTAAAGTCACTCCATGTAGTGTATTGTGAAAGCAGCTCAGTCGATGTTAAGTAACATAGAAAACGTGGAAAACATAAATACTTACCTTCTAGCGGTAAAAAGTTAAAACACTATTTCAAAGCTGTTTTGTAGTCAGTTTTTATAAATAGCATAAAAAAATTGTGTTAAAGTGATCGTTAGTTTAAATAGCCTATGATACACAAAAAGTTGTAATGAAACATCTGTTGAAATTTGGGATCGATTATTTCAGTAGTTTTTGAGATTTTTACCAGCATACAAAGAAACACTGTCTCTGGGAGTAAAAAAACTAACAAGCTGCTTTAATGGCCATTCATGAACCTCTAACCAGTTAAATGACATAAATTTGACAGATGAAATAAAGATACTTTCTACTTGTTTAATATTAGTATTAAAAAAAAAGCTCGTTTTAAAGAAGTCTTATTTTTTCTCAAATGAAAACTTATGATACATTTTCAAACTTGTCTAAAAGTAAATAGCCCTACCATCTTTCAATACAATAAAATTCAATAATTTTTAAATAACTAATATCACTACCGTCAACTAAGTCGTGAGTAGTTAAATGCTGAAAACAGATTTTGCTCAAATTTAAAGAAGTAAAATCTTCGCATCTGATTGCTTTTAATTCGTTTACGTCGCAAGATAGTATTACTGGTAAATAAGAGATTATCTACTTAACGCGCATTATTTTTATGTTTAAATATGTCACACTGTGTTTTTTGTGTGTTCTTGTTACGTTATGTGTTTTTTTCTTACAACTGCAACAACATAAAAAAGTCCATTTAATAACTATAGATTCCATAAGTGTATGGTGGACAAACAATGTTATTTTATATCAACTTAAAAAAAATAAGATTTACTATATTTATGACATCAAATCTGTTGCAGAACAAGTTTATTTTTATTGTGTGTATGAACGTTTGTTTAACAATATATACCTCATTATTTTACAGTTGCCACGTAAGAAGCTCATGTGATGTCCAGCATCTCAAGTGGTAGAACAGCCCTTATTGCAATTGGTATCAAATAACGAAAATTCAAAAATTATTATATAAACTAATGTAACGTGTATTAAAGCAAACACTTTGAAGAAACAAACCTTTGTAATATAAGCGGTCTCACAGTAAGGTAGAGTTATAAGTTTAACTAAGTCAGATTAATATTCTTATCAAATACACAGACTAAGAAAGAGCAGTTACATTTTGTCAGTATAGATTATCGTCAACTATAGTTTACTGTTATCTTTGATTTCTTTAATCATAATTAAATGCTCTTGTTAATGGAGCACTCTGAAAATGTTGACAGCTTTTTTTTTTAAATTGTAAGAGGGCTGTGAGGTAGATATAGACCCACTGCTCACGAAACTGAGCTTAAGATACTATGAAATCTATAGTAGAAAAAAAAGCATAAGATAAGTATTCTCTCAAATTATAGAATCTTAAATTAAAAAATCAAAGACCAACTACGAAGCTCTAAAAGCGGACGAATTTCGTATGGTAGAGAGAGAAAAAAGTCAACCTATTGTTCTGATGCTGATGATCATCCCTTTGGCAACGTTACAGAAGTTAACAAAAATTATATAAGGAAATTATAAAAAATAGTTCTTTTTTTTAGAACGCCATTGTTTAAACAAATTAGAAAAAAAGTGCACTACAACCCTTATAACAATAGTTAGGTAATAAGTATTCCTATTACAATGAAAATGTAATAAGCATCACTAGAAGACATAAATTATGAGAAAGAATAGTTGCAAAATTAAGAAAAGAAATTATTAATTGTTCAGAAAATACGTTGAACGTGTGGTGGCTTCTGCAAAAGCAAAAGTAAAATTATTTCTTTAAAATTAAATAAATCAATGTTCAGTAACAGAACAAGCTTCTAGAATTGTCGTGTACAAAAAAAGCAGGTGATTCCGAAATATTTAATAAGGGGATTGAAGTGTCTGAAATATTTCTAGGAAGTAATTCACCAACAAGGTAGAGCTCAGGCTTGAATCGCATAAGTAATCATTCGCGAGTCATTACGCTGACTGCTCGGCCACGACCACCACCAAAAGCGGATGTAAATTGCATTCTTTGATGCACTATTATCTCATTAGTGGTATGCCAGTGTGCCAACATACAGGTGCTGGCTTTACAAAGCTTATCTACGTCCATAACAGTACGTAACAAGAAAAATAACTAAAAACGCTATTTGTTAATGACCGTACTGAAAAATCTCAGAAGATAAATTTGGATTTAAATTGATACTGTTTATTAATTAGAGTAAAGGTTTAAAGAAACATTTATTTTTGTTGAATTGGAAAATAATGATTTATTAAACAGTTACTAACATTTTTATATGGGCTTACTTAGCAACTTTGTAACTCTTAATAATTTGTAACAGCTAATGCTTTGATTTCTTGTACATAACTTAAACATAATTATTATTTTCATTTTAAGCGATGCTCTACGAAAAAAAATTTTCCAGATCATATTTTGCATTTTTCTTTCTGTTTATTTAATTAATTAAGTTTATAACAATATGAACCAGTTTTTGCGACTTCTGAATAACATGTTTATATTAAGTGGCATGAAAAACCTAGAGATGCATAGGTTTCATCTACTTATTTCAGGTTCTAAATGGAATAACCCTTAACGTGAGGATAACTAGTTAAAGGCTGTTCAAGTAGTATTTGCTATGATTCCCTGAAAATAGGTCTTTTCAGTAAAAAATTATAGTAATTCTATTACTTTTTGTCAGTGCACAACATAAGGCTTTGTACTATAAATTATAAAAATAAAAAATAATACTTTTTAACAAAGTTAGTTGTAAAAAATAATTGTTACAAAGTTTTGTCTTTATAACTAACTATGAGGTTGCCTTTTGCTTATTACAAGAGCATAAGGTGCCGTTTAACAGCAACTTTTTTTTTAGAACTCTACTTTTATGAGCCACTACTCACCATTATCAACACTTTATGGTATCAATCCAAGTTCGTATTACTGTATACCAACATCATATCGAAATATCTGTCAAGAAGCTTTTGAGCACCTACATGGTGAGGAAAGAAGTAAATTGGATTCAGCATACAACCTACCAAGCTACTCATCGCAGAGCTGCAATAGATCACCAATCGATGTGTTGCATAGAGTTTTTCCAAAAAAACGAAGAAACGAAATAGAAATCATACTACATCGTTCAAAAGGTAACGTCATGATAGTACTAAATGGTTATCAAATAGTTTATAATCCAGTGAATCTAGTCTTCTGACAATAAACAAGTTTTTTTTTAAAAGCTTTTTAATGACATGTTCTATGTGACGTATACATTCAGTAAAACTAGAAATTCTCTTGAGATAAGCATAAAATTTAATAAAGCATACTACTGTACTTGTGTCATGAATACTTTCTGTTTAGCTTAGATGTAGGGAAAAGATAGGTGATACGGGCACCCTAAATTAACCAAGCTTTCATATTTTATATTTAAGTGCAGAACTAATGATAAAGGGTAATTCTTGAAGTGCAAAGTCTGTGCAAAAAAATTAAATTAAATTTCAGTGAAAGGAGCCAAAAACTAATATTATAAGAAACAAACTACTACACCTTATTAAAAAGACCGTTTTGCCTCCTATGGGGCAGGGTGGTCCCCAGCGTGGGACACAATGAGCACGGAGAGTTAAGAAAAAATTGTGTGTAGGCATGTGCGTATAAATATATATATGTAT